CTTTTGGAAATGTATGGCTTTCCTTATAAAAACAACAAAACTATCATAAAAAGAAAAAAATTGAAGCAGGGCATGATGGAGCATGCCTGTAATCCCAGTAGTTCAGGAGGCTGAAACAGGAGGATCGAGAGTTCAAATTGTAATCATACCTTTCATGTTTTGATCAGCATTTACAATATCTGAGGTATTACACACAAACTCATCCTCTCTGCATCACAAAATACCAGAGGTATATCATTCTCAAAAATATTTCACTACAATCCCCAGGGAATTTGATCTAAGGCACTGACACCCATCTTCCAGAGTGAACATAATTCCCCAATCATGATGCATGTAGCCAGAAGATAAGCAGTTTCTGCTCAAAAACAGCAAGAAGTATCTAATAAACTGACATTTCAAATCTTAACAATAGTCCTTTGCCATATATGAATCACTTATGACCACCGTTATTGCTCTGAAATTTCTTCCATCTATTGCGAGAGACTTGGCTGTTCCTCCTGCCCTCGGTCTAACATGTAACATACAGGCAACCCTTTGTATCTGACTCACTAATTAACAAAATGTAACACATCTTCATGTACTTGTATCTTTCTTTCCTAGGTCCTTCTGTAAAACAAAAATTGAAATGTATGTCTGAAAATCAACATGATGAGGAAAGTGGAGACATTTCTGTAACATTTGGCTACAAAGTCCTACATTTTCCAGTATTACTAAAGAAAATATAATTGATTCATCTTCATGAAAGTATAACAATAATCATATTCAGCAAAGACTCACAACTAATATCTCATTTCATCTTCCCAATAGGCCTGAGACATGTTTATATGCTTGTTTTAGTCAGCTTTTTCGCTGCTGTGACTAAAAGACCCAATCAGAACAACTGTAGAGGAGAAAAAGTTTATTTAAGGAAGGGCTCGTGGTTTTGGAATTTTTTTTCTTAGTCAACATACAGCCAGCTCCATTCCCCAGGGACTCCAGGTAAGGCGGAACATCATGGTGAAAGAGTGTAGCAGAGGGAAGCAGCTCACATGAGGATCAGGAAGCGGAGAGACTCCACTCTCCTTATGTAAAATATATATACCCCATAGGCACACCCCCAGTGAACCACTTCCTCCTGCCACACGCCCTGCCTCCAGTCACTCATCAATTAATCCCATCAGGGTAGGGTAAGGCTATGGCCCAATCATTTCTCTTCCAAACCTTCTTGCACATGAGCTTTTAGAAGATACTACATCTAAACCATAACGTTTTACCCCAGCCCCAAAAAATCTCACACTCATCTGACAATGCGAAATACATTTAGTACGCTTTTGAAAGATATGTGGAGGTACACTTCAAAAAGACTGAATCCAAAGTCATTCCACAGAACCTGACCTGAAGCTCTTCAACACAAGCTTTTCACTTTTCCTGCTGCCCCAGTGCTGCTTCCTGCTGCACACATAACTCCCTGACAACCTACTCTTGAATCTGTTGCCACATGGTCTGTTCTGGGATCAAACCAAAACCAGTACTTAATTAGGTCTCACTTTTCTCCCCCCACTTCCCTTTAGCCTAAGTGCCTAGGTTTAATACAAGGAAGGCACTACCTTTTAAACTTCAAGACAAAATGACAGCAAATAAAAAAGGAGTATAAAAAAATCTGAATAAAAATTAAAAGATAAGCATATTTAATATTTACAATGGGTATAACATTTCCTTTTCTTACATGAGAGAGGAATAATAGAGATTGCCCACTTCTTCAAGGCAAGCCTAGTTATAAATGTTGAATAATATTGCTGAAGCTAAGATTCCAACTGTGCAAACAAACTTGATACTTTTCCTTGTTAAAACGCACTTGGAAACAACCCAAATGTCTAGGAACTAATAAATGAATAAAGAAAACATATTCATACAATGGAATATTCAACAATAAAATGGAATGTAGTACTGAAACACAATATAACATGGATGAACATTGAAAACATTTATCTAAATTGAGGAAGACAGTTTCAAAAATCCATATATTGTATAATCCCATTTATATAAAATAGAGAATAGGCAAACCTATAGACAGAAAATAGGTCAGTAGTTGCTTATAGCTTAGGGCAGGAAGTTTCAGGGGGACAATAGGTAATGACTGCTGTTTCTTTACGTGATGATAAAAATTGTGGTGAAATGTGCTGTATATCTTTGTGAATAAACAAAAAACCATCAAATTGTACATTTAAATAGGCAAGTTGTGTAGTATGTGAACTATATCTCAATAAAAGTTGTTAAAATTTTGCCCTTTGTAGCTATTTTCACTGGGCCAACGGAATGTGTATATGTACATATACAGGCATCACATGTGAAATAGAATGTAAGCTTAAATTTAAAAAAATAATAATGGTCTGATCACTGCTAACTTACAACATCTAGAACAGTGCTGGGTACACAATGCGTACTTATTGAGTGAGTACAATATTAGACCCTGCTTAAGACAGAGCAAAGAATAATCTACTAGTATCACAATGCTCATTTTGAGTTGTCATTGTCATCTCAAAATGTCTCATACAATAACTCAATTTGACCCTTACCAAAAGGAAGCATTAAGGGTAAACAGAGAAACTTTCTATAATATTACCCAGCATCCTGATCAGCAGAAAGGTAAACAATGAGAAAACCCAATGCTGTAATGAAATGGTGGTAGGAATGGTATGTGACTGATAAACATAAGGGTACTTTTTACCTCTTTTCATGAGGGATGAGTTACAACAACCAGACTTTGGGCTAAACCCATTTTAGGAAATTTCTGCTATAGTATGGATCATTTTTTATTGTTGTTTTTTAGTTGTAGATGACTTTATTTTATTCATTTATTTTTTTTATGTGGTGCTGAGGATCAAACCCAGTGCCTCACATGTGGTAGGCAAGCCACAACCCCGGCTCTATAGTTTGGATCTTGAATGTGCCCTAAAGGTCTATGTGATAGAGGTCCCCAGGGTGGTACCATCATGAGGTTGTGGAAACTTTAGGAGGTAGAGCCTAGTAATAAGTCCATAAGTCACAGAGGGTGTGCCGTCAAAGGGGACTGTGGGGTCCCAGTTTGCTCTCCCTTCCTCTTCTTACTTTCCGGTCATTAGTGAGTAGTTCTCCCCCACCATGTACTCCCGCAGCGATGTACTGGCTTACCAAAGGCCCAAAGCAGTGGGACCTACTAATCACATACTGGAATCCCTAAAACCTGAGTCAAATATACCTTTCTCTTTATAAGTTGGTTATCTCAGATATTTGGTCAGTAACAGAAAGCTGACTAATACATTGACCCAAGAAGGTTTATTCCATATTCCCTTCAGTCTTATTTCTTTTACCTTTGAAACTAAGTCAAAAGACTATCTACTACTGGCTCTCCTAGTTCCTAAGCCATAGTGTAGCTAAAAGCAATGGCATGGCATCTTTCTTTTAAATCATCTTCTCACAGTTTAGTGTGGTCATTGAGTCTTTCTGAGGCCAAGACTCCAAACTCATCTTATTTGCTATAATGTCATCACCAAATAAACAGATATTTGATGGCCATATTTTCCCTTTAGTTTATTTCATTACCACACCAATGTCCTGATTCACTCTGGCTTTCTAAAACATTCAAGCAACCAGTAACTAAGATTAAAAACCAGCTCTTTACACCTTGCCTCTGATTTTTCCTTATTTTTATTTTGTATTCACAAGAGATTTATGTTTAAAAACAAATACTACCCACTGAACCTGCAGGAATGCCCAATTCTAGTATATAACAATTCAGGGCTAACCCTCAAATAACTAAAAAAAATGCAGTTTTGGGCCTTGAAAACCTTTGGGATGAGGTGGGAATACTTTCCTTTCCTAACACTTGATTCTGAATAATATGAAAATGCTCCCCAGAAACAGTAAGAAAGAAGAGGGTCTTCAAGTAAGACTTTTTTTTTTTTTTTAATCTCATGATTCAGACTGATGAAATCTGTCACCCAAGTGCATGTTAGTAATTTTAAGTGAATATCAAAGATTAGATAATTTCCAAGAGACATTCATATTCACATGCTGCTTATAACATTTTAAATTGATATAATTCAGAAGGCAATGACCACACCTACTTCGGTCAAAATGATGACAAAGGTAAGAATGTAAGTAATTCAGTAAGAAACAAAAGAGCTTTACCATAGCATCAGGTACATAAGAACAACACTGGGGAAAATGTACAGCTTTACAGAAATGGAAGGAACTAATCAATTACAGTACAGAAACACAACATAATACTGCACCCATTAAAAACAACAGTTACAAATATGAGGTAGAAACATGAGTAATATTTATGATGTATAGGTTGATCATCCCTTATTCAAAATGTTAGGACCAGAAGTGTTTCAGATTTCAAAGCTTTCCGGATATTTTAATATTTGCATAGTTTTTACAGGTGAGCATCCCAGACCCAAAATCTAAAATGTTTCAAATGTGCCAAGTTTCAGGTTTTGGAGCATTTCAGATTTCAAATTTAAGATGCTCCTCTTATAAAGTAAGACACCAGCATATAAAATGTGTATGTACCTGTGTGTGTATAAAATGAATTAACCCTATGTCATCTTTTTACAACACACAATTTTTAAAATATTTTCTCAAAAGGGCTTGCCATTGAAGCTCTAATTTTTAGAGATTCCCCCAATTCATTTGGCTGAATTTTTCTTTTCTTTTACTTTACTATTTACCATCTTCCTGATCATCTCCTTTACTCATTGTCTCAACTTTCTGCTTATCATGCTTCTTGTCCAACTCTAGGAAATCCTACATAAAGCCTACAGAGTGGGAAATAAAGTCACCCAATGGTCACTGTAGTATCCTTTTATTCTGGCTTGCTATCACTATGAAGACAACATGGAAGTAAAAAACAGGAAATGGAAGAAACCTCAAAAACCACATAATGCCACAAAACTATCTTCTAATTATTTCTAGCAACACGTACATGGGAAATAGAAACTTAAAAGATTCATTATCAACTACCACTTGCTCCTTACCTATTGCATGAACCTGATTCCGATGAATAAAGAGCCGATTCCTGAATATCAGTACAACTAGAAGAATCATCTTGTCGAACAGGCTTCACTTTTTCTGGGGAGCATAGATTTGATGGAGGAAAGTGATTTCTTATTGAGGTTGTATCTGAGAATTTCATTTTATCATCTTCCTGTCCTAAAAGGAAAAAAAGAAATGTAAAAAGGATGAAATAAAAATTAAAGAGTATCTTAAAATTTACAACCTTTGTATGCCTATTATTTCTGTAACACACAATATTGTTATTTGTATTGAGTAAAATCTAAGTATATATTACATTGATCCCAAAACTCCAGTAAGAGCCAGAGAATCAATAATACCACAATGGTGCTTTGTTTTTCCACAATTAATTAATTTAAAAATAAAGTTTCCTTTAAAACCAGAAATGGAACAAATTCATAATTCTTTTTTATTATTTTTTAGTTGTAGACAAACAAAATACCTTTTTTATTTATTTTTATGTGATGCTAAGAATCAAACCCAGTGCTTCACATATGATAGGCGAGCGCTCTATCACTGAGCTATAACCTGAGCCCAAGTTTTTAATTCTAATAAATCCCCTATTTACATATCACTAAATTCCTAAGCATTTCATAGATGGAGAACACTGTCACTCTAGCAAAAAATGACTAAAGATTCAACAAATAAAGAGAACTACAATATTTGTCACTGGCTATGAGAGTTAATCTGAATTGTCAACTTGAGTAGATAAAGAGATGCCTAAGATTAAGAGGTTTCTGGGTGTATCATGAGGGTTTCTAAGAATGACCAGTATGTGGGACAACAAACTGACCAGGAGACCCACCCTAAATGTGGGTAGCACAGTCCCATAAGTTGGGAGCCTGGATAGAATGAAAAGGAGGACGAATGAGGAAGACAAAACAGATGTAAGCTCAGTTCTTTCTTGAGCAAGGTACCACAACTGCTGTAGCTGTATCTCCTGAAGACATCAAATTTCTGCTCTGCTTCACTCTTACAAAACAGAATCTGACTAGCAACTGTCCTGGAAGTTACCAGGCTTTCAGTCCTGAACTGGGGTTGCATCACTGGAGTCTCCTCTTGTTCTAAGGCTCCAGCTTCTTGGGCTGAGCAGTTACTGGTTCCTCCAGCTCTCCAGTCTGCAGATAGCCATTGTGGGAATATCCAGCTTCTGGTCATATAAACCAATCTGATAAATTCCCCTTTATAACCATATATATAGAATCATATTATTTATATGCTTATTATTTATAATCATATGTATATGATTACATATAGAGGAATAGAACCAATGAGATATATGTGTATCAGACAGGTAACATTAGGAGCTAATACCCTAATACACTATTACAGAATAATGAATTTACATGGACCCTAAACCTACTAAATAGAATGAATTCATTATGGGAAAGGAAAACTAATCAGACATACAAGTCACATTTCTATACAACCTTTATCATAGTCTTAGTTCTCAGAGTTTCACATTGCAAATATAGGAAAAGGGAAGACTCAAAGTGTACACAAGAATGAGATACACAGGTATAGCCAAATGTCTGCAAATAAGAGTGCAAGACATTATCTATGATTCTTTTTCTCATGTGACAAAGCACATTAAAAAGAACAGGCCAGGCTTTTTAGCTAGAGATATTGCATGGGAAAAGAATAAGCCAAATTCTTCAAAAAGGAGGACAAAAACTTTCCAAGGTCATACAGTCAAGATTTTTTCACAAATGATTCTCTCAGATTGGAAGAAGAGCATGCATCATAGGGGTATTAGCTCCTAATACTGCCTATCAGTAAGCCATCATTTCCAAAACAAAGCTGTATCCTCTAATGTTTATCAAAAGAAAAAACTGAGCTAATAAGATGACCATCCAGAATCTCTAGGATCTCCTCTTGTAAACACATTATAAGGGGAACCCATCACCCTGGAAACTTGATGCACCCAGGCAATTATATCACTCAACTGGCTCAGAGAATGCAATCAAGCTGGCAAGCCAGGGAAAAGGAATTCATCTTGAAACAACCTTTTATTTTTAAAAGTTTTAGTCTCTTACTTCTTTCCCTCTTAAACAAATAAATAACAGAAAAAAATTCTCTGTTAGGGACAAACAGCACTCAACAATATGAGCTGACCTTAGATCCTGTCTGCCCTTAGATCTAAGAACACAGGACTTCAAGGAGAGCCCCAACTATGAGGCTAGGACATCAGACCTCCCCAAAGACATGCAATAAAAAAGATTAGGTTTTCCCTTGAGAGAACATGAACCTTATTCACTTACATGGGCACTTCAAAGTTTACTCTAAAGAGCAATAGTTACACTGGTTGTATGTTGCCATACAAAAACCACCTCTTCAACCAATCTGTGTCTTCCTCTCTCAGACATCCCCATTATGAACAACAACCTAACATCAACAGTCACCCAGAGACAGAAATACTTTTGTGTATATACACACATTCTATATAACCCCCCAAGCACAAGTAACCAACTATATTCAATAAAGATTTGATTAGTAAAAAAATAGTTTTCTTCTGGTGGGAAATATCAAGCCAGAATTTCTTAAGCAATGATAATTTATAAAACTATCCTTTAACAACTGCATGAACAAATTCAAGTTGTTCAAAGGCCATGAGCTACATGCTGAGGCAGCAACCTACTAAAGGAAGCGTGAGTAATGGAAACAACAAGGAATGTGTAAGTACCCAAAAGAATAAAATACTTAGGAGTAAATCAGCCACGAAGGTAAAAGACTTGTATACTGAAAGCTATAAAACTGCTAAAAGAAATTAAAGAGATAATTAAATGGAAAAAGCATCCTGTGTTTGTGAACTGGAAGATCTAATATTGTGAAGATATCAGTACTACCCAAGGCTACCTACAAATTCAATGTAATCCAATATCAAAATACCAATGTTTTATAGAGGCAATCAGTGTTTTTTGGTTTTTTTAAAACTTATCCTAAAACTCAAGGAACCTCAAAGGACCCCAAATAGCCAAAACTGAAAAAGAAGAATAAAATTGAAGGACTCACATTTCCAACTCTGAAACTGACTATAGAAGCTATAGTAATTAAAACAGTAATACAATCATAAGGACAGATATAAAGACCCATGGAATAAAATAGGGAATATACAAAGTAAACCTTCACAGGGTCAGTTGATTTTGGACAGGATTAACCAAGAGCAATCAATGAAGAAGAATCTTCAATGAATTGGGCTGAGAATAAAACATATCTCCTAGGTAAACATATCTACACACAAAAGAATCAAGTTGAGAGCTCGAGATATAGCTCAGATGGTACAGAGCTTGCCATGCATGCACAAGGCCCTAGGTTCAATCCCCAGGGCCATTAAAAAAAAAAAAAAAAAAGAATCAAGTTGGGCCCTTACCTTATACAATAATACAATATATAAAAATTAACTCAAAATGGATCAAAGACCTAAACATAAGAGCTAAACCTACAAAATTGTTGGAAGAAAATATAAAGGAAAAATCTATATGACACAGGATTTGGCTATGACTTCATAGATATAACACCAAAAACAGGCAATAAAAAACAAACTGATCTTCATCAAAATGAAGCATTTTTGTGGTGAAACAACACTATCAAGAAAGCAAAAAGACAACAAGAGAACATTTGGAAATATTTACCAATCATATATATGATAGGGGATTAACAGTCAGAATACATAAAGACCCCCATAAAATCAACAAACAACCCAATTTTAAAATAGGCAAAGAACTTGAATACGCTCCAAAGAAGAAAGACAAATTGCAAATCAAAACCCACAATGGCAGTCAGGCACAGTGGTGCTTTCCTATAATCCCAGGTACTCAGAGGCTGAGGCAGGAGGATTACAAGTTCAATGCCAGCCTCGGCAACTTAGCAAGGCCATGTCTCAAAATAAAAAATAAGAAGTGAGGATATAATTCAGTAGAAGAAGAACCCTTGGTTCAATCTAGAATTCCAAAACCAAAAGCAAATACAAATGAAAAACCACCACCAACAACAATAAAATCATATGACATACCTTTTCACACCTACTAAGATGGACTCAAAAAAAAAAAAAGGAAAATAATAAGTGCTGACACGGATGTGGAGAAACCTCATACATTGCTGGTAGGCAATATAAAATGATACAGCTATTGTGGAAAAGAGTTTGGTGGTTCTTGAAAGGTTAAACATGATACCACTATATGAACCAGTAATTCCTCTCCTAGGTAAATATCCTAAAGAATTAAAAGCAGGGACTTGAGCCGATATTTGAAAATCTATGTTCATAACAACATTGTTCACTATAACCAAAAGGCTAAAATAGCCTATTAAGGGATAAATGGATAAATAAGATGTGTCATATACATACTACGGAATATTATTCAATCATAAAAAGGAATGAGAGGGCTGGGGCTGTAGCTCTCTTGTAGAGCACTTGCCTCACAGGCAAGAAGCTCTGGGTTTCATTCTCAGCACACAAAAAAGGGGGAAAATTTTAACATGTGCTACATTAATGGACACTGAAAAAAATTCTTAGAGAAATAAGTCAACACAGAAGGACAAATACTATACAATTTCATTTATATGAGGTACCCAGAATAGCCAAATCCATACAAAGAGTGCAATAAAGACAATTAGGGATGTGAGGGAGAGGAAAAGGAAGAGTTATTAAATAATGAGTATAGGCCAGGTATAATGACACACGCCTATAATTTCAGCAACTTGGGAGCCTGAGGCAGGAGGTTTGCAAGTTCAAGGCCAGCCTTGACAACTCAGGTAGAACCATCAACAACTTAGCAAGATCCTGCCCCATAACAAAAAGTAAAAATGACTGGAGATGTAGTTCAGCAGTAAAGCACACATTGGAACCAATTCCTAGTACCAAAAAAAAGAAAAAAGAAAAAAAAAAGTACAAAATAGTGATTACAGTTTGGATTGGCAGCTATAGAAAGGTTCTGGGTATAGTTAGTGGTAATATTTACACAGTACTATGAAGGTATTTAATGCCAATGAACTAAATCCTTGTGAATGGATAAAAAGATACATATTGTGTTATGTGTATTTTTCCACAATAAAGAAAAAATAAAGAATTTTCTTATGCACCTTTTCCCATTATGATTCTGTTTTGTTTGCTGGCCCAAAGCCCTGGCAACAGAAATATAACATTAATCTCAAGTTCTAAAATAGATCAAAATTAATGTGTTATGTGCATTGCCATACCAAGTGCATTAGCTTTAGACTGTTTAGCAGACCATCACATCCAAGGTAAATGCCAGTGTTCTATAACAATAATGATTTATTCTCTTTGTAGGATAGCTTCACTCTTAGCAATAAATCCTAAACCTAGAAAATATCCTCAAGCTTAAACAATTAATGAACTTGTGATTTTCCCACCAACTGAAAGGAAGCCAAGGCTTAGCAATTGTTTCTTCAGGACATTCTTCCAATTGTTTTTCCCAGAATAATAATAAACAGTTTATATTCAACCACTGCTATATGAATTTATCTAAAAAATACTTTTTCCCATTTCAAATGCCTAATAACCCCAAAGTAAATTCCTTTGGTTTTCTTTTCATAATAGAAATAAATAATGAAATTAACCATACTTCTCTTTTTAATGTCTCTTACCCATATGCATGGATAACAGCTTTTCTGTAGATTCATCTTTTTTCATTACTTTGTTTTTTGGCATTCCATCAGTTTTCTTGTATCCTTTTTTTGCCTGATCCACCAGAAGCCGAAATTCATTCTGATACGTTTTACCTGAAATTCAAAAGACTTTCTAGGTTAAAGTAGGTGAACCCATTTACTCATGAACATCATCCTTGCACTGAAGATAAAAGCTGCCTGCTAATAAGCACAAAAGCACAAAGGGCAAGGGGGTCATGGAAGTTTCCTTATCTTTTCCCAGCCTCAAACACAAATATAGAACCATGCTATTCCTAGTTTGCTACTCTAGATTTCTTCCCAAATCCCAAACTCCGGAGAGGGGCTTTTTTTCCCCCTCATAGCATAATACTAAGGTGTAGAGAATCTACTGCATGTAGGGAAAAAATTGTGTTTCAGTTAAAAACTGCCTTGTCTAGAGCTACCCTTACAGGATTCCAGTCATTCAGTGCCTTTGAATTGTGGTCTGCTAGTTGTAGATAAGTGATAACAAAATAATAATAATAATAATTGGCTATAGATATACAAAATCCCCTCTGGTGGATATTTCATTAAATTCCCTACACCACAATAGAAGAAATCAGTTTTGCCTCCATTCGTACATTCATTTTAATATTACTAACCTATAAAATGACTGTTCTTTGGATTCTCCTTTGAATTAACATCTTTTTGGTAATCTCTCTAATGAGGTTTTCAAATCTCTAATAAAAATATTAATTATGTATCCATAGGAATGATTTCATTTAGTTTTGAAAATTATCCTTTTTTTAAATATTTATTTTTTAGTTACAGGTGGACACAATGTCTTTATTTTACTTTATATGGTGCTGAGGATCGAACCTAGTGCCTCATGCATGCTAGGCGAGTGCTTTACCTCTGAGCCACAATCCCAGCCCAGAAAATTATCCTTTAATATGAAAAAAAGAACACTAAAATATGATGCAACAAAGAAGAAAAGAAGTTGGACTCCTATATGTGGATACTAGTAGGCATAGCGAAGACATTTAGGAGAGACTACTACAAATTCCAACATATTTATGTTTATGTGCATTAAAACTCCCAGTGAAACTAATGAGTGGGGTTAGAAACTGGTAAGTTTAAATAAAAAGATAGTTAAAAGTTCAGCAAAAGAAATTATAAGCTGGCCATAAAGATGATTGGAAAAGTTCAGCTCTTCAGAAACATTCTTCTATGTAGAATCTCTACATAGATGGATACAAGCTAGGTGGTTTCTATTTAACTCCATGCATTTGAGGATAATTATCATATCCTATCCTTCTTCAGTTCTCCAGAATTAATGGGCCAATATCGTTAGGTTGTGTTAGGCCAGGGTAACACATCACTATGGGATCAATGCAGTTTATTTATATTTAGCTCATGTCCAGGCCATATTCCTAGATTTTATACTATTTCTAGGCCACTAGAAAATAAAGAATTGTGGGCTTAAGATTTACTACAGAAACTTGCTAAATACTTGCATTAACAGTTAAGGAGGCTTAATGACTTTATATTTTGAAATAATAAAATCTCAGATTTAAAAAATTTTCCTTTTCTTATTGAAATCTAATTATCCCATAGCTAGGCTGGAAAACAAAACCAAATGGCAGCCACTGCTCTGGCTTTGGCCCAAGAAGTCTAATAATGCTGCTTAGAAAATGAATGATGCCAACAGATTATGACTAATAAAATTGTTCCCACTCATCTCTTCACCTCATCTTTGGAGATCTGCCATTTGGCCAGGTGTACTCTACAGCATAAAACCTCAATTCTGCTGGTTATCTGTCCTGAATTTACCTCTTGAAAGTTTTAAGTGGCTCAGCTAGTTGTGGGATCTGCTAAGTTCATATTCAGTCAACCCGAACTCATTAGATTCTCCAGAACTACTGTTTCATAGTCTCCTCTTTATTGAAACCTCTAACACTGCTCCTCTATGGCCCACTCTTAGTTGGTCTCACACTACTCTGAAAACTATGGAGTCATTCTAACAGAACTCTGTCTCCTTCCAATCACCATTACATCTGGTCTATGTACACATGATATCTCTTATTCCTTACTGTTACCATGAAATGACTGTCCTTGCTATATCTAAAGGCTGACTCCAAACTTACACTGTGGATTCCATCATGAAGTCCTCTCAAACACAAGCTATGTTTGAAATTGAGTGAGTGGGCTATGAAAACAACTTAGTAAATTCAGACTGCTTATTTGATTTTTCCCTTAATGAAACAATAAAGAGCAGAATAGAAAGTTTCAGAGTGCATTAAAAATGTTAAAGGTAATAGCATTTTGAGAAACTTTTGTTTCAATGTGTGTGTACACAGTAATGATATAAAATACATTTATTGCTATGGGCTACCCTCAAAAAGTCTGAGTTGCTGAGTTAAGTATCTCCCAATTTAAACAACAAACTCAAGAAATTAATTAAAAGCCCTCCCCTGACCCAACATCCACCTCCAGCTACGATCTCACTATGACAGTGAAACCTTGCCTAAGAACTGTCCACTTTCATATTCTCACTGCTTCATTTCCAATTTGATCTCAATGAATTCTAAGTGCTTCTGATGCCTCCTCTCAATCAAACAGCTCCTCTCAGTGAAACCATCCTAGAGGAAGCTCCTCTTGTCAGGGTTTGTTGCCTCCAAGCTATGAAAATCAATGGTTCCTTGTATGGCCTCTTACAGATCTTTTCATAGCAACATGTGGAATAAGTCATGATTTCTTCTTAAAACACTCTTTTCCTGGATTTTCTGATACCATGTTTCCAAGCTTTCCTCCCTTCTCTTTGCAGCTTTCTGGGCAGGCTCCTCTTCCTTCTCTCATCTCCTACGTGCTAAAACAGATTTCAAGGTACAGTGCAGCTAAGGATCCCTGAGACTCTTTCACAGGGGAGATGAGGTAATGTAATAACGCATGTCTTTGTATTATTAGAACAATACCTATGTAGGACATGCATGCATTATTACATTTATATTACAATAGCAATGGTGGATACAATTTCTGATGTGTTAGCATGTACCACTCACCATTTAAACTACCAAAAAAAAGTCACTTTCACTTAACATATTTAATGGGCTGGGGTTTAGCTCAGTGATAGAGGGTGTGCTCAGCATGCCTGGGACACTGGGTACAGTCCTCCACACACAGAGAAAAGGGATATTTTTGATGAAGCAGTCTATTAAATATGGGTTCCTGGGTACATACCTATGATGAAATGAGAACTACAAATAAAGCCCTTCTGAGGCATACCAAAGTATGTTGGGTACCTATTTGATTTGTGAGCTAGTTGCTTATTTTATGGCATACAATTTTTAATGGAAACTTATATCTCCTAATTTTAAAAACAAACTTAAAAAAAAAAAAAAAAAAAAAAAACCCTTCCAGGCATAATAGTTGGTACCTTATCACTTTGGGTGAGACCACCAGTACAATGGTAAATAAAAGTAGTAAGAATCAACATCTATACTTTGTTCTCAATTGGAAGCATTCAATATTCACCTTTAGATATGTTAGTTGTAGGGTTTTTGTTTTTTTTCCATACATACCCTTTGTCAAATTGAAGAAATTCTAGCTTACTGAGAGCTCTGACCATGAGTGGATGTTCAATTTTATCAAATGCTTATCTGCATCTATGTAGAAGATTACAAGATGACACTAAAGCTGTAAAGAGTTTTGTTCTGGACCACACAAGCTATATAATCTATTGAAGCATCCTAAGGCTTATTTTCACATTTCATTAGGGCAAAATATCAAGAGAATGAGAAGAAAAGCTACAGACTGGGAGAAAATATTTGCAAAAGACAAATTTGATAAAAAGGTAATTAACCAAATACACAGAGAACTCTTCAAAGACAACAATAAGAAAATGAAAACCCCAATTTCAAAAAGGGAAAATGATCCAGACACTTCACCAAAGAAGATATATAGATGGTAAACAAATATAATACAAGATGCCCAATATCACATGAAATTAGGGAATTGCAAATTAAAGCAACAATGAAACAACACTACATAACTACAAGAATGGCAGACATATGAAGCACTGACTCTACCAAATGTGGTAAGGATACATAACAACAGAACTCTTATTCACTGCTGGTGGGAGTGCAAAATGGTACAACCACATTGGAAGACAATTTGGCATTTTTTTACAAAATTAAGGATACCATCCCATTCCACAAGCAAGTTCCCCCAATATTAAGTTAAATGAGTTGAAGATATATGTTCACACACACAAAAAATGCACACAACCATTTATAAACAGCTTTAATCATACTTGACAAAACTTGGAAGCCATCAAGATGTTCTTCAGTAGGTAAATGGTTTAACTATGGATACATCCAGAATGGAATATTATTCAGTGCTAAAAAGAAATGAGCCAGCCTAGGGTATGGCTCAGTGGTAAAGGACTAGCCTAGCATATGAGACCCTGTGTTCCACCCCTAGCATGGCAAGAACAACAAACAAGAGCTATAATAAGCCATGAAAAGACATGGAAGTGAGGTAGGAGATTTGGGATGTCAAGATAGCAGAGGTAGGGTACATGGAAAATGCTGGCCAGACAACAATATGAGGACATGTTATCATGTCCCTGTTTACAAGAAGTCCCATTACCATGGCAACTCCTGCTAGGGAGAGCTTATCACCACACTGTTACCACAAGTTCTATACAGTCCCATTACCATGGCAACTCTCACTACAAGCTCTATATTCTAATTAGGCAAAAATAAAGTAACCATTGGGAACAAATAGGGCAAGGACTTCAATCAGGTCCATGGGGAGGTGAATGAGGCACAGCTCAGCATATAAAACAAGTCTCGCCCACACATGGGGGCCTTAAGCCTCCCTTGCTGGGCTACTCTGCTCTACTTCACTTTTCAGCAACTCTATGCTCTGCCTGTTACTTCTGCATTTCTTGCGGAATTCTTTGTTCAGGACACCAAGAACCTGGCCCCCACTGGACCCTCCACTAGTAACAAAAGGATCTCAAATGTATATTATTTAAAGAAAGAAGCCCGCTCGCCTGGCATGCGTGCGGCCCGGGTTCGATCCTCAGCACCACATACAAAGATGTTGTGTCCACCGAAAACTGAAAAATA